CGAGACATCTTAAAACAATGCAAAAATAGGCGTGTGTGTCTCAGAACCATTAACTTCCAAGGGGATTAGGAAAGAAGGAGAAAGCTAGGTGAAGCTTTGGTCTCTGTAATGGAGCTACCCAGGTTGCACTTCTTTCTTTTTTCTTTTAGAATATATTTTTTTATTGTTTACAACTATAAGCATCAAGCACAGTGTCACTGTTTTGGCATTATTTTGCCTTACATACAAAAAAAAAAAAAAGAACCAAACCATTGACATTCCTATTATTGGTACAATATTTACATTTTGTAAATCCTCCTAGCTACTTTTGTTCCGACTTTCCGCTCTTTTTTGCAACCGCAGGTAAAACTTATTCCAGGTATCATAATATTCTGATTCCCCCTTATTTTTCAGTATTAAAGTATTTAATCTATCAGCTTCTGCACAAGCCATTATTTTCCTTATTATCTCTCTTTTCGGTGGTTATACTTTCATTTTTCCAATGTTGTGCAAAAACCATTCTCGCCACTGTCAATACCTGTATTATTATTATTATTATTATTATTATTATTATTATTATTATTATTATTGGGGATCAACATATTTTCCAAAGCACCTGAAGGCAAAACAAGAAACAACGGATGGAAACGGATCAAATAAGGAGAAATTTCCTGACCGGGAGAACAATGAATCAATGGAACAGTTTGCTTTCCCAGATTATTCAACTGGAGCTTTTTCAGAAGAGATTGGACAACCATTTATCTGAAATGGTGTATGTCTCCTACTTGGGCAGGGGGCTGGACTGGAAGACCTCCAAGGTCCCTTCCAACTCTGTTATTCTGTTATTTTGAATTCAAGGGAATAGATAAGAAAAAAGGAGGCAATCTAGAAGACCTCCAAAGTCCCTTCCAACTCATATTATTCTGTTCATTTCATCCAGTTCTTTAGAAGCAGAGGAGCTATGTGGTTTTCAACTGCCCAGAGGAGTAGAGAAAATGTATGGGCTGTGGGATAACAATCTAGGTATGAGTAAAGTCTTCACTTCTCCATAGACTCAATGGAGGGAGTCCTCAACCTTTTCTACACCCCACACCCCTAAAACTCTTCTGATATATTCTCGTACCCTTTACAAAAGATAATAATTTGTGCATATAATTATGCATGTACACTATAATTTTGAAACTTCTAAGTTTTTGTACCCCTGGAATATCTTCTTGCACCCGCCCCCCCCAGTTGGGAACCCCTGCTGTAGAGGAAGACTTTTGACGATCACCCGTACATGTCGCTCAGACGGTTGGTCGCTAACCCAATGTCCTCTTCCATACCTCCGCTTGCAGAGTTGAGTTTCAGCACCTTGGACAGCCCCTCCCACTGCAACCTGTTGACCAACAAGGAGATTTTCCCCATCCCCAGTCACTGCGTCTGGGCGGACAAGAACGGCCAACATATCCTCGGCTTGATCGAAGATTACAACTGTCTCCGGAAGCAGATCACGGAAGGGCGGAAGCAACTGGGTAAACTGGAGCTTCCCCTGAAAGAGGCAGAAGGTCTGGATTCTGCAGTGACGGTGAGTGGTGTAGCCGAGAGGCTGAATGGCTGGGAATACCGTGGCACCACAGACTTCTCTAGAAGAGTTGAGGATGGCGCGTAAGGCACCAGGGGGTCCGTGGGATTTTTCCATAATTGAGAGGAAGGGTAAAACAAGCTGTCCTTTTTTTCTAGATCCGTGATGGCAAACCTGTGGCACGCAGAGCCCTCTCTCTGGGCATGCGCGCCAGCCAGCTGGTCTTCAGGTTTCCGGCACTGTGGTGCACGCAAAGACCAGCTGGGCAGCATGCTTTACATTCTCTCTCGCCCGTTTCTCACTTTGGCACTTCTCTCTCTCTCTCTCTCTCTCTCTCTCTCTCTCTCTCTCTCTCTCTCTC